TTCACAAACGTGTTTTAACTGGCTGTAGCAGCCGGAGAGTCTGAAAAAATTGTATTAACTTTTTGTGATGTGTTTTTTTTTTTTTTTTTTTTTTACTGCTGCAACCACCATTGCACAAAGCAGTTAGACATAAATCCTTCACAATGTGACTCATGCTTTTGATTGAGTCCTTTTAAGTGGAATTGCAGAGCTGGTAAAGTTTAGTGATTGCGATGATCTTTCCATGAAATGGAGCTGAAGCTTTATTCTTATCTCTTGAGTTTGATTGTCATATTCTTTTAAAAACATTAGTGTGAGGAAGCAAGAAAAGCTTTTTTTCCTGGTGAAGTTCTCATCTGTGTCATTGCAGTTATGATTGTAAAGTAACATAAGTAAGCTCATCAGATATCTGATATGCCTTATAAGATTTTCAACTAATGATGAGATCATTTGGACCAGTTGTAAGGTGTCAAGATCCAAAAAGAAAAGCATCTTATTCAGTGATCCTCCAGTTTGAGGCCTCTAATACACTCTTATAAACACTTTAATCTCATAGAGTAACAGGAACATTCACTCATATGATTTTTGACTATCAAACACAGTGCTACATGTTTGGTCCGGCACAGTGAGGTTCATTTTTTTGCCATATAACCATGTTTTATTTGTTGAGTTGGCAACAAGCTGCAACCGCTGTGTTGAAAAATGAAGCCAATGCAGCCAAAGTGCGCAAAAATGCAGTTCTCGAGTGTCCACTTGAGACTGGCTGCAAAAAGTCAATGAATCTCCATTAGGTCCCATATTAAAAATGCCCATTTTTACAGTTGAAATACATTTTTATAGCTGGGTTCAAAAGAAGGTTTTGTCTCTACAGGTCATTTCTTTATTAGTAAGAAATTGTACAGGTTTTTTTTCTACTTATCAGTATTATTATATTAAGGTTTCATTATGAATACATGTACATAATCAGCTTCTGTGCCTCATTGTATTGTGATGTAATAGTTCTTCAAATATGCCCCTAAATTGTGCCAATATTCCCCATATGGTGACTGTCATTGTTGGGCTTCAAAACACCCCCGAAGAAACCAATGGGTGATGTCACTGAGACTACATCCATGTTTTAATAGTTGATGGTTGGCAACAAGGCAGTGTCACCAAACTGAGTCGTGACTGACGTCATGTGGAACACTTCCACATAATGAACACACTGTGCAGCAATGCTGCTCCTCTACATTGTTGTCTCTCTAATTCAAATTTTGTTCAATTTAGCGGCAAGCTTTTTTTCATATTACCCAGTAGTAGTTAATCAAACGCTAAACAGTACATCACAACCACACACCCCTGTCCGGTCCTGCTGGCTCCCCAATTTACCCTCTTCAGTTCTGCTTGGTTACTACCTCAACATGGCTAAAGTATGGCTCAACATTAGCTCCAGATTCCTGGCTGTGTGAACGGGGCTAGTACTAGCCAGTTCACTGTTGGCTGTTGAAGTCAGCACGTTAATTAAATCTCCACCATTACCTGATGATGTGGGTTTTGTTGGTGGGAGTAGTTGAGCGTGGCACGAAGCTTTTCCCAATAGTGTTATTCATTCTTATTTCACCTCCTTTATTCCTTTTGTCATGAATTATTAATTTTTAATAAGGACAGCTTAACATCTCCGCCCTTCCTCTCTCAGAGGAGAGCAGTCCACGACTGAATGTTGAATGCAGCACATATTGCTCCTCCTCCTCTTCCCTCGCCTCATCATGATTGGATCCTTTTCTTCTCTTTCATCACCTTCCATCGCTCTCTCAGCCTAATAGAAAGGCAGCAAAGCATGTCTGCTGTATTTCTCTTTTTTAAAACACTAATTATCTGCAGAGGAAGGCAGCAGGAAAATACTTTTCACTCTGCCTTTCTAGAAACTTCTGTGAGCATCATTGAGTACCATAAAGTGTTTTCCTTTTCTTTAAGGTACATTTAGATATCATCTTTACTGACCCGTGTTTCTCTCCACTAAGTCCAGTGTGTCTTGTTTCTCCTTTTGCAGGGAGCTGGTGGTGATGGCCCTGGCTGTGTCCTGCCTCCACATGTTTGCCCAGAGTAACTGGACTGGTCCTCCGGCCTCCATCCAGATCTCAGACCTGCTGCCTTCAGCTCTGCTCTCCCCTCAGGTAGGATACCATCTCATCATTCTCTCCTGACTTTTGTTATCACATCAATGATGTATACTGACATCATATTAGCTAATTAATTGAAAAGTGAAACTAACTTTAAAAGTGTTACGTTTTCCCAAGGCCTACGTTACTGTTAAAGTATTTTTTTGCAACAATGTTCTACAAGTCTTGATTGAAATCACAAAATCTAACTGGACAGTTTATTTGGGTTAGTTTTTTGAAAAGTTGATTAAACAAATGCATGCTAGTCGGCACCAGAATTATCGTCGGTTAAACTAATAATTATTTTTAACAATCCAGGCCCGCTATGTCGATCAAATGTTATGTTTTGCTCCAGGTAGTGGCTACTGCCAACATTTGGCATTTGAATGGATAGCATCTCTCAAAGCTGTATGTCGTTGTTACAGGTTAAACTGGCATTCATATAACCAGTCAACTCATCAATTTGTAACCACATTTAACCTGCAAGAGGAGCCAAATCTGGGGGTACTAGAGATGCTAATGTTAGCCACAATCGGTAAACCAATTTTACATTGTTCACCTCCTGACGCTGTGATCCTGTGTTTAGCTGTGTTGAAAATATTGTGCTAAATTAACACAGCAGGATGTAATCAGGATAATTCAGCTCGAGCCAATGGGAGGGGGTAGTGATGTTTGTATTCTGTGTCTGCACGCTGCATAGAGCTTATACACACGTCCACTATGATCTCATGCTCTCAATCATGCAGATCCAAACTTTCTGAGTTAAAAATGTGTTTGTAGCTCTGTCTGCTTTCTGATTATTGACAATGCGAGACAAAGATCTGTCAGATTGACATGTTGCTGTTAGACTGGATTCACTGGGAGCCTTCAGGACAGTATGTTGATCTTTTTGTGCCACTGAGTAGCCCTTAGTTACATTTGTGAGTGAACAACTTCAGTAAGTAGTCACTAAAACCCTTTTCACACATCTCCTGAAAAGCTCTGGAGATTAGTCTACCCGGAGGTTCTTTAGACTGTGTGAACGCAAACAGACACATTTTTGGCGCAGACTTTACCTGGAGTTTCTCCTCCAGACCCCTAGTATTTTATCCACAGAATATCTGAGTGAGCTGATGTCTGAACGCGGCAGCATATACTCTGGAGATTTCAACTCGAGCCAATAGAAAGAGAATGACGTTTATATACAGTGACTACCTGAAGTGTCTGCAGTTGAACATCTGCATTCTGTTTTCTGTTCGTCAGTATGTTGTTCTCCTCTCTTTAGTGGATGTTGTCATTCCATTGGATTACACATAGCATTGATATAAAGACAGATATTCTCATTATAACGTTGTGTAGTGGACTCTGTTGCGTTGGCCGCTACTTCCACGTTGTTTATTTACGTCACGTCTTACCTCAGGAAATCCCCCGATCCCCCTCCCCTCTATCAGGGATAGTCCCCCCCTCCCCTCTGACAGGGAAAGTCCCCCGCTGTGAGGAGCATATGTGAACGACTAGGTCGGGAGAATCTCTGGAGAAGTCCTCCTGTAAATATCGTTCCCTATCACTCTTCCTACAACTCATCCCATCTCCCCCTGTCCCTTTTTCAAGCCTGGTGCAGTTTTGGCTGATGACTGTAGCAATAAGTAAGGTATTTTACCTGCTTTTTGTAAAGCGTCTTGAGGTAATACTTACGAATTGGCGCTATACTGTATAAAATAAAGATTGATTGCTTGCTTTGTGCGGTTTGACCTTCAGACAGATTGGTCAGCTCCAGATCCACCGCTGGATCCATGTCAACAAACCACGGTGCATTTTTGAAACCTTTACCAGAGATGCTTATTTCACCTCAATATATTTTTAAAATAGTGATATAAATTAGTTTAATTTGTGTGCTAAGTTTATCGATTCTATAAAATAATTCCCTATATTCTCTGTGGTAAAATGGTGAACCAGAAAATAATTTATGTTGTAGCATAAAGTGAGCCGAGCCAGACCAGAAAGAGAAGGAGAAGTGCCCACTGCCCAGTAATGAAGCATCTCTTGGGTCCTAATTACATCAGGTAGAGGAGGCACTGCTGCACGGAGAGCAGAATATTGCTTTCACACTCCCATTACACCAGACGAGAGGGCCATTTCTTTTATCAAAGTAATGCCTTTGGCATCAATAATTTATCTGCGCTGTCATATCGAGGCGCTCGTGTTGTAAAGCAGGGAGTCTATATATGCATGACAGCACAGGTGAAGGAGGACAAACATGGCAAAGCTTTTGTCATGTGGATTTGATTCATCTAGGGGCAAAAGTGAATATACTTTTTACAATGAATTTATAGAAAGGAGATCATGTTGGTTAGGCTATGTTTTAATAATCACCATGCAGAAACTTGCTCGTTTTAACAGACTAATACAGATGTACTGTTTGCACTGTGTTTGCAGTGTCAATGTTGTGACCTGCACATTTTGATATTCTTTCTTCAAAGAACAAAACAAGATAGTTGACACTTTATTTGAAAGAAATGTTCAAAACGGCAGCACTTAACATCAACATCATGACCAGATTTACTCTCTTCAGCGTCATTCTCTCTGATTCCAGAAGGGATTAGGACTCACCCATCAGCCGGGGTTTTTGGCTGCAAAGAGTTTTTCTTATTTTATATGTTATTTACCTGTTAAATGAATTTGCATTCATCTGTTAGGAACCAGCTGGTGAACTTCAATGAGCAGTGCCAGATATTTCTCCCAGTAGTTGTTGTTAACCAAAAAAAAGCCAAAAGTAGGAAATAGTCTCCTTTTTCTTTGTCTGGTGGACAAAAACACAACACTGAATGAATGATTTTGTTGACATTTGCTTGTCTTTGTGTACATTTCCAAGTTTGCTCAAAGGCAGGGTTGTTAATTTTTGCATGATTTTGAAAGTAGCATTCCCTCTGTGCTCCGTCTGCACCCACCCCCTCCCCTCTGTGCTCCCTCAAAAGCCACGCCCCCTCACTTACATTCACAAGCACCATTGGTCCAGAAGCGGAGCTAAGCTCATGCTTTGAGTGTGGGCATGTGCACGCAAGGGGTAGAGAGCAAGCAGGGCGACAGGGAGGTCTGATTGGTTCATCAGATTGGTACCTCGTGGCAGACATTGGTTGAAGTTTTTACAGACTTACAGACTGTTACAGATGATGGATTTTCTTTCTTCCTTTTTCAGAGAACATGAGTTATTAATGTCTGTTAGGACCTAAAGACAATTTCCACCAAATTCTTGAAAAGTGTATCTGGAGAAAATTACCAACGCTGCCTTTAAAGGTTTGCAATGAAGGATTTTAAAGTGTAAATAGATTCTGTATGTCATTCAGCTAACTGCTGGCTACTTGGGATGTGCATGCTAGGAAATCATTGCTCTCTGAAGACTTACTGAGATACCTGAGTAGAGCATTGCTCCATCTTTCAGTGGTGTTAATAGTGCATGTGCGTTCCCACGATCACAAGTCAAATTATCTGTTGTGAAAGAGACATATTGTACTGGATTGTTGTGGAGAAGAGGAATCTCAGCCTGGAGGCAAAGATTTCTACATCTTTGTCGATCTGCCTTCCAACCTCTATTTATGTGAGTTACGTGACAGAATGGATTTTATTATGAACACAAGAAGCTGAAATGAGATTTACTCCTTACATTTCATTTCAATTTTCAATTTGGAATATGGTGATTTATAGACAGGTCCATGTGCAGGTATGCTGGGCATGATCATCTGAGAGAGGAACCTGGGTCTATTCCAAGGGATTAAATCCCATCCTGCCTGGGTACCTTTATGATCACTGTTCAGAATTGGAGGATGTGGATGGGGAATAGAAACAGGCTCTCATGGCTTCTTAACAGCCTACAGTGGATGAATGGCTGGATAGCGGTGGTATCCCTAGACAGATATGTGTAATTGCTTTTTGATTGAAATGTTTGAATGTTGCAAATGTTTGTATGAAGTAGCAACCTCCAGTGTTGACAAATAAAGCTAATGGGGAAGTTGAAAAAGCTGCAGTTCCTTGAAAGTCCACTGTAGGCTGGTTTCAAAAGCCAAGGACTCCTCCTTAGATCCTTTCTTAAAATACCCAATTCAACTGCTGAATAAATGGGTTTACAGCCTGGCTCTAAAAAAGGTTTTGGTCTCAGTAGTTTATTTGTTATTGTTACACATTTCATGGGGGTGTGAGGTGCAATTTTATAACTTTTGAATGAATGTGGGCGTGACTGAGTTGAATGATCGGTGGTCGTGTCATACTTGTTAGTCAGGAGGCTTTAGGCCCGCCTCAGTCCCACCTTTTTGCCTATTTCTAAAACTAGGTTTTTTAATTGATTAAATGTTGGGTTGAGTATTTAAAGAGGGGCGCTGGTTCAGTTCAGCTCAGTAGAGCAGCCCTCCCTTAAATAGAGGCTGCAGTCGTCACCGATCAGGAACCAGTTGGTACATGCCATCACCCCTTAGGCCCACTGTCTCTCTTAAACTTTCCTGAAAAATTAAGGCAAAATGGCCAAAAAAATTATTAAAAAAATAATTTCAAGAGAAAAATGTCAAAGTAGTGTTCGGCAAATAGAAATTGTTGAATTATTTAAATGTTTGTCTCCCAGAGAACACTTTGAAGTAGTTTTTTGTTCTGGAATGTATTTATCTTACTCTTGTTAACTTAATAACTTATTCATTCAAATAAACTATTGGCCAAAATATGTATCAACATCAAAACAAGTCTTGGTTTGCCTTTGATCAAAATGTCTCTCAACACAATTAACTTTCTTCTGTAACTACAGCTCCTCAAAAAAATCTCAACATCTACTGTTCTTCCTTTTCAGTAGAGATGACTTACCTAGCATAATCCTTTCTTTACTGACAGACCCAGACCCTGGTTGAGGCCATCCACTCCAGCCTGCTCCTGGATGGGGAGTCTGTTTACAGCCTGGTGGCCAACCCCTTCCTCCTCCTGCTGGCCAGGGTTATTCTCACCAAGTGCTCCTCAAAGATGGACAACCTCCAGGTAAGGCTGTCACCATCGCTTCTTTGTCATCAATTAAATAGGCCTATTTTGGAATCTAGTTTCATGGTAACATACATAGCCCCTGTAGCAGGACCCATTGAAACATATTTTGGTGTACTACTAATGGATTATTAATAGTCACCAAATATTTGGAAGTCCTTCTGTTAAATGCTTGATCTTGCAGCTGCAGAATTAGCTTTGTTTTTGTGTGTTTAAAAAAAATTGCATTAGAAAACAACAGTCACACAATACCATGAATAACACAGACACCCAAACAACATTAAAACATCTGGTTCATTTTTTTCAGGATAAAACATTCCGTTTTGACGGTTCAGAACAATGACCTTTTGTGTGTTTGTTGTTGTGTTTATAAGGGTTTTTATACCACATACTGTACATCGTACTCACGCTTTCGCCAGTGTAATCTTTAATTATCACGGGAAGTCCTTTGACTCCAGCTGTCCGACTGATGAGGGTGCACGGAGCCGTAGTGGAGCGGACAAGCAAGCAATGCACATGTATCTGGTGGAAGTTCTGGGTAACTGATTGTCAGAGTTCTAAGTTCTGTGGTCTGTGTCACTGCGTGAAAGGAGGCGTTCTTGCCCAGCCATCTGGCCAGCATCTCCTGGTTGAGCTTTTGGAGCTTGTCAACTTAGATAACAGCGGGAACATTTTGGATACGAGGATACTTCCCCCCCCCCCCCCCCGATCAAGTTAAAAAACATATGGATAATTGTTTTGTGCTTTTTGTGCCTTTTATTGTATAGATAGTGAATAGAGTCTGAAATCAGGGAAAGAAGTCATTTAAGGATACCTTTCCAATAGAAAAGGACAGCTGTCATTAAAAGTAACACATGAACACCAAGATTCCTTCAAGTGTTTGTGTCGTCGTGTCGGCTTGTCCCAACACTGTAAACCTAGGGGAAACACTGGTATGTTTACCAAATGTACCAGTTTATTGGCTCTCTCTCCCTACGTTTAATCTGAACTGCATGTGAACAACTTAAATGCAGAGTAATTTGAATAAATGGTGAACACTTGCAGTCACTCTGGCCTCAGCTCTCTATAAGTCACATCCTCTTAAAGAACAAATTAACGTGAAGTCACATAGGGCAGGAAATCATTGTTATACTGATGTCAGACAACGTGCATAGCGTCACAAATCAGCACTTGGCATGTGGACACAAGTGCAACAACGCTCTCCTGCTATAGGTGACTCTGGTGTGTGTGTGTGTGTGTGTGTGTGTGTGTGTGTGTGTGTGTGTGTGTGTGTGTGTGTGTGTGTGTGTGTGTGTGTGTGTGTGTGTGTGTTGTGTGTGTGTGTGTGTGTGTGTGTGTGTGTGTGTGTGTGTGTGTGTGTGTGTGTGTGTGTGTGTGTGTGTGGTGTGTGTGTGTGTGTGTGTGTTGTGTGTGTGTGTGTGTGTGTGTGTGTGTGTGTGTGTGTGTGTGTGTGTGTGTGTGTGTGTGTGTGTGGTGTGTGTGTGTGTGTGTGTGTGTGTGTGTGTGTGTGTGTGTGTGTGTGTGTGTGTGTGTGTGTGTGTGTGTGTGTGTGTGTGTGTTCCTTGAGACAGACAATTAAACGTCCATGTAACCACACAATAGCAGATGGGGTCATGAGGCGGGAGATATCCTCCCCGACACACAAATAAGCTCTTTTACATGGTTCACTTCCACTCTCCCAGCACTGAACAGGACAGAACAAGGAGTGAGGTTGTTTGGGTGTTAAAAGGAAGTACAGCACTTGCATGGCTCCAAGCCATTTTTTCACCCTGCCGCTTTGTGTTCTGGTCGGACGCAAAAAAGCAAAGGAGTTAGCTGTTTTTAGAGCGTGGTCAGCACTTTGTTCCCACATGCACCACTCTGACTGTTTGTGTTTTATTTGTGCTTAAGGGGCCTCAAGAGCAGCACTTTCTGTTTCTGTATTAACCTAAGCATGTTCCATCTGACCTAAGATGCTGAAATCATAGTGAAGAAAGACCACCAAACAAACTTCTCAATATGCAACTCTTTCATATCTGCCAAAATGTTTCTTTAGTCCATTTGACCGCTAAGTGAAATCAGATCTCTCTCACAAAGTGTTGCAATTTTTGAAAACCTTGAGCTGCAGTGTCTGAATAATTCAAATTTTTATGCGTTTAATAAATTAAACCCTTGGCCTGAATATTTTATCTGCATTGTTCTAACAAAAAAATGAAACAATACATTTATCTTTTTAAAAAAATGAAAATATTTGCATATTGAGAAGTTCAACTGAAAAATTTAATGAAATAAAAAAATAGAAACTAACTGTTGATTTGGACAAAGACAGGAATTAATGTTAATTCAATACAATAATAAATGTATTCATAAAGTGCTTTAAATCAAAGTGCTGTACAAAGCAATACAGTTAAAATACAGGAAAGACATACAGAGAATTCATGACTCATACTCAACGGTAAACAGATGGGTCTTTAACTTTGCTTTAAAAACCTCAACAGAACAACCCTGCCTAATGTCCACAGGTAAACTGTTCCAAAGTGTTGGTGCACAGAAAGAAAAAGCCCGCTCACCAGCTGTCTTCTTTCTGACCTTTGGGACACTCAGAAGACCCGTCCCCTGAGAACGCAGGGCTCGGGCATGAATGACACCTTAAACACCTCAAACTATATTTGATAAAAGACTGAGAGTCTGAACTCCAATGATGACCCTGATGACTGATGATGGGTTTTTATTCCTGGATTTGATGATGGTTTTATGGACTTTTTAGTCATTCTCAGTTTCCTGTTGTTACCTGATGAATTCTTGTATTCATGTATTTAATGTGGTTCACGTTGTTTGTTGTTTCTATTGTCTGAGTTATTGCCTGTGTTTCTATATGTTTTGTATCTTTTTTCATATTGTTCTCACCTGGCTGTGAAACAAATTTCCCTTGGGGACAATAAAGTTGAAATTTGAAAGCTCAAATGATGTTGTTTACAGCTCTTCGTTTAGATGTGTAAAGGTCACATATTATGCAAAACCCACTTAATCATGTTTCTCTAATATGTTCCTATTCTGTCTACAAACCCCCCAATCATTAGAAAAGTCCATCCCCTCTGTCTTCTGCCTGCTCCACTTTTCAGAAAACGTGTGCTCAAACAGGCCGTTTGGAGATTTTCTCCTTTGTGACATCACAAAGGGTAGTAACCCCTCGCCCAGGTGGGTGACACTCTCACAGCTAGGTGTTTTGGTGCATTCATGTGGTGAAGGTCACATCGGAAAAACGATTTTCTGAGTTGTAAAATGAACATGAACGCCTGCTCAAGTGCAAGAAAGTTCAAGAAATGTCCTCTTCTAGAGAGGGGCGTGGTCAGACACAGCTCATTTACATATTTAAAGGTACAGACACAGAAACAGCCTGTTCTGAGCAGGGCTGAAATAGAGGGGTTTATAGACATGATCAAATACAGGATCAGAGTGGATTTTTGGCAAGACACTTCACACACATGTTTTGGGAAGCTCTGAGACTTATTTAAACTGGTTGAAGAGGAGGATGATATGTGACCTTAAAGCTAAAATTACCTTAGCTTCAAACACTAAATGGACAAACCGTTTGAAAGCAGGAGTGAACTGTAGATCCATATATTCTTCATGTTTTTTTTCCAGCTGCTGCCCTGGTGGACTCTACATTACATCAACCTGCATCAGCAAATCCTGGAGGCCTGTTCTCCACAACTCCTTGAATTGGCCAAAAGCAGCATGGACAAAGGTTTGTGGTTTTAACATGGCATTGTCGGTTAGCTTGCTAAGTTATTTGAAATGGAGGCACTGTTGTCTATTACCTGCTTTTTCTATATTCATTTAAAGTACCTTAGCGGAGCTGAGGTTGAGATAACAGCTCACCTACTTACAGCTATTTGAAAAAGATTCAAAAGAAGAATCTTTGTATTGAACCTGTCCTTTCTGAGATTTTGCACTGGCACATCATTTTTCATCACTGCCATTTAGTGCAGACAGAATCCTTTTTAGTGCTGAATGTTTAAACCTGTCGAGGTTTTATGATTGTGATGTTCATGTTCAACACAAACTATAAAAACCCTTCAGCTTGACAACATGGATTTAGTTGTTTAGTTTTATTTGTTGCATACACTCGGGAAGAAGGAGTGGCGAGGGGTTACTGTTGTAATATTCATGATCTGTCTTGGTCTCGTCTCAGAGTTTAACACTTACTCGCTCTCGGACAAAGAGGACTCCAGATTTTAAATCAAGATCAGTAAAGAGCACCACTGATTTATTTGTCCACTTGAATACCGTGATAAGAATGAAAACTTGCCTCTCTTCATGCCACCATCGACTATGATTCATTTGTAGTCTGAAGTTTTGATCAGACCCCATCATGCATTATTAGCTCACAGAGTGTTGCAGTTTCTCATCTTTCTTAAATGCAGCCACACTATTCTTTAAAACCATTTCCCATGGAAAAGATTGGACTTTTGAGGATATATTTTTAAGATGTTTAGCAACCACACCTTCATTAGTCCAAGCTTAGTACCAAGAATACAACTCATGAAGTGTTTTGCTACTGCAGTTGGTGTTCAGTCAGGATGTGTGTGCCTTGTGAGGTGGTAAACGGCACTATTAGGGCACAGTCTCACTGGCCATCCGTACCGTGGCCGCTTCAACGCTAAAGTCCAGTTCGTTTGTCCAGTGTGACCGCTCCGTATCGTGCTCAAGCTCAATACACTTCCTTGGCTTTGGCACACTTCAGAGAGGTGTACTTCAGCACGGTACACTTCATGCACGAGCACAAACACGCTGGTACACAACGCTGACAGCCTTCATTAAGGAGAAATCCAGAGTTTCATGTCTGTATCTGACTAAATGACACAATATAAGACACAAAGTAGCTGTCATGTTCTCTGTGTTGTTCTCCGATGTACAGACATGGACTCGACTGCGCGTCTCTCTCTCTCTCTCTCTCTCGTCTGCCTGTTTGTAAACTGAGCATGCTTCATAATAAAGCGTGCAGTGTTGTATTACGATGTTATGTACAAGAGGTAATCGTGCTTTTAGGCACGGTTAGTCCTGGCCAGTGTGACCGCGGGCCGTGCCGGCAGCGTGGAAAGGCGCAGCGGGGGGCCGATCGTAGACAAATGTGTTTTTCTGACATATCCGCCGCCAGCACCGAGGGGCCACGCGGCCTCGGGTGCGGGGATCTCAAAACCGGTAATGATCCTTCCGCAGGTTCACCTACGGAAACCTTGTATTTCACGGTATAGCACGGTATAGATGGCCAGTGTGACCGCGCCCTTACTGAAAGAGACAAAAATCAGAATTCTATGGCTGAGATTTTCATAAACAAGCAGTCTAACAATGAGGAGTAACTCACACAGATGTGAGGGTACCTCAACCTCTGCTTTTCACTTGGGCTGCCTGGGTACAGTGACGAGCTTTAAGCTTAAACTGCTGCCTGTCTAAAACTGTTATTAAGCCAAGCTGTGGCTTTGGGTACTCTTCCCTCTAAAAGCCAAACCACCAACTTTAAGAGCCACTGCTTGGGTCAGTGCTGCAGGGCCTTGCCAACCACTGACCTCGCTGTGCCAAAAAAAAACAAAAAAACAAGTAAACAATACAGAGGTTTTGATCTTCAAACAGCTAGATTTGTTCATTGACAGTTTGATTTTAACTTGCTGCATTGTTGCTGCAGGAGGAAACTTTACTGGGCCCAAATCAGCCAATGTTTGTGCGCCCCATGTACGGAGGCTGTGGTCCTTAGAGTGGGCTTCACAGATTGTGGCCCGCAAATCATTCCCCACTCTCCCAAATGTCAGACTCGGACAAACACTGACTTGTTTTCATGGTAACGTTTGAATGAAATTGTCAGCAGTGTGGTAATCTTTTGAAACCATTTCTGGAAAGATCAAAAACATGCTGTTTGTAAGACATGTTGAAGTGACATGTCAATAAGAGTGAGGGACTCCAAACAACAGTTTACTCACATCCAATCATATAGCTTGTTGAAATTTATCAGAATTGTAAATTGGTAAATAGTTTTCTTAAACGCCTGTTTCAGCATTGGTTTTCATGATGACTGCATCTCTAAACTTTTGCTGCAGTTTGCAGTTGTGTTCGTCGCTCTGCACCCAGCCAGTCTCTGTGTAAATGAGATATTTATCTCCTGACTGCTGCTTTGTGATGATTGTGAATATGACGATGTAGACTGGCAGCAGGATCTGTTTGTTTGTGGACTGGGTTTATGTTGTTCCCAAACCAACGCGTTAACCCCCCCCCCCCACACACACACACACACACACACACACACACACACACACACACACACACACACACACACACACACACACACACACATTCATCTGGCATTAGTCTCACACAGGGTAAATTCACTTTGTCAGGCCTGGCCTCAGTCTCCCTGTGATGCTTTCTTAAACCGTGGCATTGAGCCGCAATGCACTAAAAAATGAAATTAGCTCTGAGGCTATTGTTTATTTTCATGACATTAACAGTGTGTGGTTTAGAGAACATTTGTTGTCTCACTGTGTGATTTAATCCCCTCTTCATAAATGAAGAACATTTCATTTTTTTTACCGTTTGGATCCACCAGCAGTGCTTTTATTAAAGGGCATTTAAGATGTTTGTTTCATTTGAGTTTCTCTTCTCTCCTTTTTGGAACGCTGCTGCTGGCTGTCGGTTTATTGTTTTATTGTTTGGAGGGAGTGAGAGTGATTGTTGGAGTGCAGTCTGTTGTGTGATGGTTAACAGAGCGTGAAGGGTGAGCAGTACGCGCAGGCTACAAAAATCATTCGATCCATATTCCAGAGGAGCAGTTACCCACACAATCCTTTTACGAGTGACGCAAGGAGAGAAGTGTCGGGGGGTGCTGTGGAAAGCATGCAGATCTGTTTTACCCTAAGCTTCTTTGGGTGGGTGCTGCAATCATGTTTGCTTTGGGTGTGACATTTCAATCAGTAGGGAAAGTGTTGCTGACTAAATTTCCTGATTTCTTTTCACTCGTACTGCTCATTAACAGCATGACAGCTTTAATTAAGTACGTGTTGTCAGAACAGCGCTTACCGACTGAGCGTTTCTTTATTTCACTTCAATCCTTTGCAGCATTCAAGGAACACTTTAATTGCCCACAGCGAGACAAACTCATGAATGTCTCTTGTGTATGTCTTCATTCTGTTAGAAAGCATAAAAGCAAATATTTCTCTGCTGAGACTTCAATAACTGAGCTTGATTCTGATTCTAAATATCTCTAAAGATAAAAGGTAGGTACAAAGCTTTTCATTACAATTAAGTTACTTGAAGAGACGTATGGTGATAGAAAAGGAAAAAACTGTGGTTTCTTTTATTGTAGTCGAAAGACAAAATGTTGTTTCCGAAATAGCTGCCCACTGTAGTTGATAAGAAGTCTACAGCTATGCTTGTTGTAGTTCTGTGAGATTGTACTGAAGTGCAAGGCTTCCTTAAAGCTGTTTTCTAACATGTACTCTGGATATATGAGTCAATCTCAGACAGCCTGCCCCTGAAATCTTCTTGAGTTGTCTGTATATATCCCTGAAAGCAGGAAGAGAGGGGGGGGTCTAAGAAAGCAAACCCACGAGGGAGGACTAAGTAGCAGAGTCAAACACTATAACATGATGATGTTTTTTCTTATCTTTTATTGTAATGCTAAGTGTGTGTGCGTGTGGGGGCATTGTCTTATAAATGGTTTGGGATGTACACTTTAGTTAAATTTCATCGGGATCACGGTCACACTGGCCATCCATACCGTGCCCAAGCACGCTTCAACGCTAAAGTCCAGTTCATTTGTCCAGTGTGAGCGCTCCGTATCGTGCTCAAGCTCAATACACTTCCTTGGCTTTGGCACACTTCAGAGAGGTGTACTTCAGCACGGTACACTTCATGCACGAGCACAAACACGCTGGTACACAACGCTGACAGCCTTCATTAAGGAGAAATCCAGAGTTTTATGTCTGTATCTGACTAAATACACAATATAAGACACAAAGTATGTCATGTTCTCTGTGTTGTTCTCCGATGTACAGACGTGGACTCGACTGCGCGTCTCTCTCTCTCTCTCTCTCTCGCTCTCTCTCTCTCTCGTCCGCCTGTTTGTAAACTGAGCACATTCATAATGACATAAAGCATGCATGTGTTGTATTACGATGTTATGTACAAGAGAGTAATTGTGCTTAGGCACGGATAGTCCTGTGTAGTGTGACCGCGGCCGTGCCGGGCAGCGTGAAATAGCGCTGCAGGGGGGCAATTGTGCTTGTACAGCACGGTACGAATGGCCAGTGTGACGCGCCCTTAAGAAAATGTTTTTCTTAACAGTGTTAGGTTTATCAGATCATATTTCTGGAGCTGAGCGAGAGTTAGTTTTCTTAGCTTCTCTACATTTTGCAACTTTACAGTTTGTCCATTGGTCATAAGTCAGTGGCCTGTAGACTTAAATTTATCCCAAATGATCAGCAAATTAAAGGGGCGTGCCATGACACCTGACACTATACACTACGGTAAAGAAAGGAAGAGGACCCTACATTGCTTGTGCTTTAATTAAGCCCGTCTTGAGTTCTTGCATGTTCTTCTTGTAAATATTAGGTTCAGTCACTTTCCTAAGTTCCACTAAAATTAAACACAATGTCAACTTACCATCTTAGTGTACAAGAGAGTAAGGCTTATCCTGGCAAGGCCATTTATTCCAGCCTTCCCCACGTGTAAATGACATATATCAGGAATTATTATTATTATTATTATGT